ATAATTATTAATTTATTGTAAAAACATGACAGATAATGTGTGAAACAGATCCAGTTCAGTTGCTGTTTATCTGTTAGTTTCTATGTTTGCTGTGAGCTGTTGTCTGTTTGGTCTGTTTCTGCTCCTCCATGTTGTCACAGACACTACCAGTGAATGGGATGGGCGGGGCTTAGTCTAGTGATATTTAAGTCTATGTTTATCACTCATTATAAATGCAAATTCTCTAGTCTAATTTCTTTTGTTTGTGTGAAATAAATAAAAAAAACCATCAATGGCATGTAGTGTCAAACAAAAGCTGTTTTGTAAATATTTAGTCTTATCTGTTTGCTGCTTGAGTCTTATTAGATTTTTTCTGTCAGATAAAAATCTGAATCCTGTTTTCCTCATGTTGTTTATGATATAGTAACATTTACTGTAAAATGGTGAATTTGTGTAGCTTTTTTAATTCTTTCAGCTAAAACCAAATCCCAACATCATGACAAGACGAATGATTCGGTTGTGAGAAGCTGCCAGAGAAGGATGGCCACATAAATTATTAACCTGTGAAAATCCAACATGTAGCACTCCCACAGCCAAGTGAACTACATTATGTGTCTTGAGGATCTGTACAAGGCTTTTTAAAGCCTTTACATGCCTGAGCTTTTTGGAGTTTTTTATGTGGAAATGCTGCATATTTGGTTCTCTGCATTTTTCATTGCACTGTTCATCATAAAGTTGGGAAGTGAGCCTGTATCTGCGGAACATGGTAGCTGTTCAAAGTGTGTCAAAACACACTCGGACACTTCTTTTTGTCCTGAGTCTTTAAAGATTTGTCCTCTCCTTCACCCCCCAGGTAAGATCAAGTACTCAGAACAGGTGTATGACTCCTGCATGGAGGCGTTTGATTGCCTGCCGCTGGCAGCGCTGATGAACCAGCAGTTCTTGTGTGTCCACGGGGGGCTGTCGCCGGAAATCCACACACTGGATGACATTAAGAAGGTACAACAAGAAACAAACACAAAAACACATTTTAAGATTAACAACACAGATTTGGCAAAATCTAAATGCGGAGGTCAAAACCAGAATCAGATTGTTTTAATAAACAGTTGAAGCTGCTTTGTTTGGGTACCACTTTGTAATTATACATGAGTAATTATTATTAATTAAGCTCTAAAACATTTAATAATTAATTAATAGTCAAGTACAGAGCAATGCAAAGCAAATACTGACTTGTTTTAGTGAGCCAACATGTTTCTGCTCTCCCAGTATTCTACATAATTTAAATTTTTAATATTAATGATTTGTCATTAAGTTACCTGCATGTAAGCCCTATGATCATTTGTAAATATAAAGTTTGCAGTTATTTAGTTTAATAAGTAGCTGAGACACAAGCAAAAAAAAAAAAAAGAAAAAGGAAATTTACCAGAATAAACAAAATAGAGCTCTTAACCTTGCAAAAAACTGAGTCTGCTCTAATTATAAAGTGTTTATAGGTGCTTTATGCATGTTTATTTATGCTTTTAAAGATGTTTACAACTCAACTTTTGGATTTATCACATTCAAGATGGTTGCCGGAGCAAAGCTAGTCTCAGAGTCAGTTTTACAGCTACTGAACAGAAATGAACTGTGTTAGTAGATGAGACTGATCCTCAGTTTTTACTTTATGCTCTAACAGATTACAGCTGTTTGTTTGTTAGAAAAATATGTCATGAACTACTTAACATTTAAAGTCAGTCTAAATAAAGATGGCTGCCACAGGTCACCAACAATAGTAAATGCAAAAACGGCTATAATTCACCCAGGGCTTGAGCTAAAGTTTGGTGCGGTAGTAGCTGAGCATCATCCTAAATGCATACTGTGAGTACTTTCAAAATGCAGAAGATTCATAGTGGTTTTTACATCAAACCTGCTGAAACCCTGTCATTTCTCCACAACATGAGCTTAGTTAAAACAGGACAGGAGGCTGCAACATGAAGTTCTGTAAAGAATTTTAGTTTAGTTCCTTGACAGATGATGTTTTTAATCATATGTATCGCTTAGTATGTTTTATGATTTTCTATATATTTACATTGATTGAACTGAAACCAAAGCTTCTCAATCAAAGGGGAAAAATGACCATTGTCTAATAATTAAAACAAATAAAAAAAACAGCAACTTAAATTGTTTAATAGCAGGAGGAAAGATAAATTAGACAGACTGATGAGATGAGTTGAAACAAGAAAGAATGGCCACTGTGCTGCCTGATTAGAAACGTTCTGGCCCTGAGCACACAGTTGATGACGACTCCTGTTGATGGGATACAATGTCAACAACATTTAACAATTTCCACCTTTGTCCAGCTCCACAGCCTGAACTGTGAGTCTTCTGAATACGTTTATTGTGCCTTAGGGTATCAGTCACCTACAGGACTTTGTCATAACAAACCTGCAGCATAAAAACAACACTGCAGGCTCATAAAATATCCACTGCCGTTTTACTACACATGCTTATGGGCTGGAGCTGCTGCAGGAGGAACAAACCACTCGGGCCTTCTTGAAGAGCGCTGCCTGGATTTGTTCCAGCCCACTCTGCCATCCAAGTGGATGTCCTTGTTTCTGGACTCGTGTCCCGTCTCGTGCAAGATCTTAATGAGGCCATGGCAGATTTTTGTTTGTTGCTGAAGTTGAGCAGCTCCACAAAGCTTTGCACCAGCCTTTAATAAAGCCTCCTCATTTCAGCTGCACGTCTGTTTGTTTTATCTAAAGTTCAGTGTGTACTGGATTAAAAAAGGGGAATAAGAGAGTTAAGAACTTCAGGTTAAGTTTAGGCAAACTAATGTTCAATGAATCCCTCCTGAAAACTCACCTTTTTACACTGGCTTCTAATTTGAGTTCAGTTCCATCAGATTATGATTTCTTGTCAACAAAACATTTTTAGGCTGCTTTATCATACTTGCAGACCTTTTATGTTTGTTTTTTAAATTAATGATCCTTACTTATGGAAGACTGAAACTGACATAATTAGAAATAAAAACAGAAATATATAAATGGAACAATAAATAAATAAATACACTTAAAATGCTCCAGTTAAATTAAAAAGGAGAGCTGTACCTCATCCTTTAACTGACCATCATATTTATTTTCCAGCTTAATTCCAATAAATTATATACAGTGGTTTGCAAAAGTATTCATACCCCTTGAACTTTTCCATATTTTGTCACATTACAACCACAAACATAAATAT